TGAACTGAAGATAAACAATATTTCAGATCATGTTGAGTCTTTTTTTTTTTTTTTTCAGAATATGAACACAATAATCAAAATCCCCAACTGGATTCCTGGTCCTGATTGTCTAATTTTATTTTAAAATCAAACAAAATTATTTACCCACCTGTATTTCTTACATACGAATTTAATCAGTGACATACAGTATGAATGTTTCAAAATGGTTTAATGTTTTAAAATAATAGTGTATAATAAAGTGTTGTTGTTCTATTATCTCTGTAGCTGTTAACACACAGTATGATGTAAAAGTACTCAATATTTTATAAAAAAAAAAACTCATAAAACTAGTGTGTTTTCTGGTGTCCAGTTGAAGTGAATCTTGTTGAAACAAACCCTTTCAGGAGATAAAACGGTGTCGTCACAATCTCTGACTCTACGCTGAGATAAAGTGGAATGAGCCTTTAAAGAACCACATTAGAACAGCTGGTATCTGATTACAGCTGTCAGCGTCTGCCATCTTTGGTCTGAAGTCTCATCAGGCTGGAGGAGGAAGCAGATTTGAGGGAAACACTGCCCTCTTCAGGCTGCTGCGCCACATATCAATAAACAAAACATCCAAACCACTCAGGWATATGCTTTCATGTAATGAACGCTACTGTTGTTGTACTCGAGACCAGTCTTAAGGCCACTTTTTGATGGTCTTCATCTCAGACTTGACCGCATTTGTACTTGGTCTTGCCTCGCTCTCAGACCTTGAGGACTCTGGATTTGATTTCAAAACCAGTCAAGACCCCCAACTGTAGAAATATCACTAAATTTCCAGAATATTGGCACTCCAAGAAAGTGAGCAGTGGTTGTCTGGATGTGGGGGACGATGTCTTCAAAATCTGCAGTTATACAGTTTGGCTACATAAMTCATAAAGAATGTATTTGTAAAACAACAAAAAGTCTGGGTCTCGATACACTCTGGTCATGCTCTTGACTTGGTCTCGGGTTTAGGTGGTCTTGACTATAACACTAATGCATGCAAGGAAAAGTGTTTTTAGTTAAGATGTTAGTAAAGAGAATACCTTTCCAGTTAGAAAAGACATATCCTCCGCTCCGAGAATGTGAAGATCTTCAGTGGACTGGTCGTTCTGCAGAGAGAAACGTGTTTTTCATAAACTGCTGGACATTTAAGGTTAAACACATAAATGGATTACCACGGCTTCTCCTTCCTTCCTTTTTGTCACACATAAAAACAGCCCACTCCAAACAAAGTTACACAAAGACACTCCTATCATCATGTTGCATAAAGCGGAACACACACGTCTTCTGACCGAGTCATGAGACTCAAATATTACGCCTGATGATTCCGAGCGTTCAAACCCTCCTCGGCGTTCCCGCACGAGAGCTGTCGGAGAGTTTCCCCCCGTGTCTGACGAAGCCTCACCAGGTAGCTCTTGAGCCGGATGAAGTGGACCCTCATGAGGATGGTGCGCTCCGAGCTGCAGCTAAGGGCTTTGATCTGGTCCACCAGGTCGGCACAGAACTGGTAGCCCCCTTTCAGGACGCACAGAACCACGATGTCGTGGTCGCCCAGGTCGTCCATGATGTCCCGAGCGAGACGCTCCGTCCTGGAAACAGTGGATAAAATATTAAATATAAACTAAATGTAAACTCTAAWTTTTTTTAGTAATGTAAAATATTGTGACGTTTGGGTTTAGTTTTTATTTATTTTTGAACTAATTTTCAGTTTAAAGACCAAATAAATTGAGTTTAATCATGTTGTAAAGTGTAATAATGAGTCATGTTGGTATGAAGGTGAGGGTGTTCATATTGAACTGAATCCTTTTACTGACAAATATAAATAATGGACAAATTCAGTTCRTTATTTATATTTGTCAGTAAAAGGATTCATTTCCTTTGAGGGAGCCCTATGTAGTCTATTTGTGAAAACCACCTCTGTAAAGATAATTATACTTTTCTATTCATCCTGCAACCGTCTGTCCAGAACAAGAAGTGATGTTTGGATGCTTGTAAACATCAAATGATCCTGTAAAGCATGGACAGAGTCAAGTAGCAGATCATAATAATGAACTCTTGCCTCTTGGACTATCCAGTTTAAAAAAATATCTGAAAATTTCCTAAAATCTCCCGATCAACTTTCATTAATTAAAAAGTAATCTTTTGTCATCTTGTAAATGCTGARGTCAGCTAATTTCCCTGAATGAAAAGCCACCATCACAGTGGAAATTATATGCTATCTGGAACATGTTCATTTGTTGATATGACATGAAAACTATTCTTAAAATCACTTTAATTCGTGTTTTTTTCATTAAGGGTTTAATGAATGAGCACAAATAATAATAATAATTTTCAACGTTTCGGAACCCTTAAACTTTTTAAATAATTATTTCAAAAATAACTTAGAAACTTCCTAAACGTAGAGATCAATCACATCATTCGTCACTTTATGGATTTTATAAATGTCACCAATGAAATTCAAGATGAAAAACTTGTAATAAAATAAAACTTAGTTTTCATATTCTGTTTGCAAAACTTTAACAACACTAAAATGGAAAAATAGTCAAAATATTTAAAGCTCTAATTCCAAGAGTTCTTACCAGATTTTTATTTATTTATGTCTAATTATTTTGTTGTCTATTTGACTTTTAACTCAGTTTGAGATGTTGGCTTTTCTTGATCTTATTGCCTTTATGGTTAACGTTTTGTATTTATTTATTTTATTAGATTGTGTAGTTTCTACTTTTTTTATTTTGTGTCTCCAATTGTGATTTTTTTGACTTTCTTTCATCAGTGTACAGAATTTGGCCAAAGGTACTGTTTATAAAGAGTTTTGTAAATAAAATTGTATTTTAAGGGTTTGAAAATACCCAGAAACTGAAGAAAGATTATATTTGAAAAACTGTAAATCAAATAAATATATTTTAATAATTTCTGTCCTGTGTGATTTAAGTTTTCAGGCTTCTGGTGATAAATTATAATTATTTATCTCAAARTGTGCCTCAAAGCTGTGCAGAAACAAAGTATTTGTGAGTTTTTTTAAAATAGTTTATGTATTAGTGGTTTTAATAAAATTGTCTTTGGATCTGTCCAGATGAGTCCAGGACAAAGAAAACCATTTTTTGTTTCCCTAATTTGCCACCAGTCAGTAGCAGAAACTTGTTGAGGAAAGCCCAAAGTGAGGGACATGATGGTACCTGTCCATAATGACGCCATGAGGGATGATGACAGAGTCCAGGTCACCGGAGTAGTGGGTCGGGTAGCTGAAGAGGTCCAAACTGTAACCGGCCCAGTCGTCGTGGATCTGAGAGGAAAGAATCAAACTTTTTTTTCTTGCTTTCTTTTTCTTTTTGTGGCTCAGAAACTCCAGACTGCAGTTACAAGAAACGCAAAACAGAAGAAAAATCTGCACGGCGCACAAACTCAGTTCAAACTGCGCAAACTGCGCATCCACAGATCCGCTCAGTAAATTACCACAATCCCCTCGTTCCTTCTTCTTCTTCTTCTTCTTCTTCCGGCCTGCACTTCTGCCATGTTGTTTCACCCCCCACAGAAAGACAGCAGCCTCCTGTAAGAGGAAAAGTTTTGGCGCACGCCTGCAAAGCAGTGGGCTTTGCCACGGGTGGAGAGAGGAGGAGCGCCGAAACCCAAAACCTCCTCTGGGTGCAGGTCTGCGCTGCGGCCGCTAGGGGCGCTGCGACTCCACGTTTAAAGCTGTGTTCCAACCTGAGCGCTGCAGCTTCTCTGACAGAGGGGCCCCCTTTTTCAGTTCATCTGCTCAGGGGTCAGCGGGGCCAGAGGGAGGGGCTGTGAGGGCCAGAACTGTTGTTATTAACTCTTACTGGTGTCAGAACGAGAATACAAGGGATAAGTTAGAATTTAAATAGAAAGAGAGAGAAAAGACTTGATTTTTTTCTGTAAATAATGTTGGAATGTATTGTTGTTGTGTTTTCTTTCTTTCTTTCTTTCTTTCTTTCTTTCTTTCTTTCTTTCTTTCTTTCTTTCTTTCTTTCTTTC